CGTCTATGGACCACTTAATTACTTGGCAAATAATATTTCACATAAGACTTTTTCCTTCAGTATATCGATTGAAAGACTTTTATTCTGTAAGAATAAGCTCATACAATCCAACCAATCAGGCTCGGCCAATCTTGTTGGCCGTTCAGGTTAAAGCTCAATTCAAAGCATCTCGTGAGGGCTGACATGGCCAGTGCGCATGAAAAGACAAAGTTTTTGGGATGCATATAGTCCATTGGTGGAGGAAATTTATTCTCGCTTAGTAAACAGTTGCATACCTTTTATGTGGCGACAAGGTCATAAGGTTGTGCCCAATATCATTGCTTCTTATCGGGCGGCAAAAAGCGAAAATGAAGGAAACACCGGATAAGGTCCTTAAAATAGAATATTCCCGTTCTTTATGGGCTTTGGGGTAGGCGAGGTACCGATTGGACCTAAACAACGACATTAACGGAATAAGTGCATGTACCGATGCAACTGTCCAAACGGAGAAGTCGAATTTAACTTGAAGAAGTTTTCAATATAGATTATTCCAACGCATCAATGCAAAAACCTCGAAATACTGACCGTTAGGAGGTTGAATAATGTGGAGTAGGCGATTTTGTGTTGCGCGATACCATTTAGACTTGAACGCTTAGCAAAAAAGGAATAAACAAACACACATAATATAAGCAACTGTACGGACGGAGAAGTTGCAGGCTGGTGGGATTCTCCGTGATTTACATCCTCGCCAGGTTTATGAATGAATAAAAATCAAGAGTACAACGCTTGCTTCTCGTCCGGCTAGTTTCACTTCCAAAGGCTCATCAAACAATGCCGTTTAGCCTCGACGGTGTGTGCAATCGGCACCTTCAGGGTGTGAAATGGGTCTACGCAAATGGCGTAGTCAGTCTCAGTGGTTAGAGGCCACTTGTACGTTTCAGTTGTCGAGTTCCTTTAGTCGTCTAGACTATCCAAAAATACTATTTTCTCAGTCCACGAAATGGCGAAATAACACATCCCTTCATAACCCACAACTAGACAGTCCACGTGGTACCATTCCCATGTGGCCACCACCAACCTCCGGTGGGGGAGGGGGGCAGCCTAACGAATTCTTCTGTGCTTTTGCATTGATTCACCTTTTACTGACAAGCTCACTAACTGCAACATGGGTGAGAGAATGGGTGATAAGCACAGAAACACAAACGGAATGGGCAAACTGGCAGAGAGTAAAATGCACTATTTGGTGTACACGAAGCAAATGCGGGTTCTAAAGAATCCCTTGAAATAAGGTTGTTGTGAAGACGTTCACTTCGTATGAAAGTACATGATGAAGAGATTTTTAGGTCAATCTCACCAGAAGAAGATGGCTGATTCGCGTAGTACTGCAGCCGTTCAGGTTGATGCAGTTGACGAGACGTCCTCCAACGTTTCGGGAAAAGATGGGCTGATCTTTCCTTTGTCATGTGGCGAACACGGTCGAAGCTGGTACTCATTCTTGCAAAGGCCTCAAGTTAACATTAAGTCAAGAAGACTTTCATACGAAATAAAAGTCTTCACAAAAATATTTATTTAGAGATGCAAAGTACTGTATGCATCCTCACTCTTGGGCAAAGATTGCATGCGCTTTCGCCTAACTTTTGTGCAGGTGACCATAAATGAGGTTTTTGGTTGAAAAGACCAGCAAACAAAGAGGGTTTTATCAAGTTTTATTGTCTCTATTTAGCATGCAATTTGGGCAATCGCAACTAAATATAAAGACCAAGATGTTGTGGCCTCTACTTTGGTTGCAGTCTCCTTTTAATGTATGAAAGTGGCCTAACCTCGTTTTCGCAACTTGGTCCTGTTGCTATGGCGACTTGGTTGGACGCACCTTGTCCAAAGTCCTCGGCTGTGGTAGTTATCATAATTATTAGCGTTGGACCGTGAAATTTGTACATTCTCAGACGTTTCGCCTGCCTCGTAGTCGGTATCGTCTGTGAGTCTTGCCATTCCCAGCACCAAGCCACAGCTCATCAAAGGGACAGGTGAAGTCTATCCCTATTTTCTGTCTAAAGGTTTGGCTATAACTCCTCTTTCTGTCGCATATGTTTGACACAAATTAGGTAAATGTATTGAATTCACTTGTCTCTTTGACAAGTTGTAGAATGATGCAGAGAATGGCAAGACTCACTAACGATGCCGGTGAAACTGCTGGCAATGTACCAAATCCACGGTCCACCGCTTGGACTACTCATGAGTAATATAACGGAATACTTCGAACATGTTGCGTTCAACTCGATCTGCCTGTCGACACGACCAAATTGCGGAAACGAAGTCACACCACTTCTAATCACATGTGAAGTCTAAGAGTTCTACTAACCTTTGGTCGCATAAAGTGCCTAAGAATTGATGGCTGAATAATTCCCATAACGATATGAGCAGGCCTCACGTTTCAATTGAAGTTCCCTTGGCCTTGCCTCCCAAAAGGTGTTATTCTCCCGGCTGGACTGGTCTGTGGTTCCGAATTCGACAAAACTAGTCTCGTCAGCACCGCCAGAGCAATCTAGCTTGAGCAGTGCAGTGTTTACAATTTCGGGAGGGCCCATGCATCACAGGACAGAGAAATATTTCAGGGAAGAAACATGCCTTTCTCCTGTAGCACTGTCGATAGATCAAAATCATAGTTTGTTGAGCCCACGTACACATGAAGCAAACAAACACACACACACACACACACACACACACACAATACACTAGATTCACGCATGTCTTTAACTAAGTCACTATATACCTCAAAAAGTGCCTATATATACAACATTTTGGGAGTGAGCTTTCTTGACTTGTTAGCATGAATGTGGTTGTAAGAATGATACCCTGCTCTGAGGATCTTTGACATACGAAGGACGAAAGCCTGGCACATCTTCACTGGACTCGAAGGAGGACAATGTCAGCAAGAACGTTCGAGTAAAGCCAATCGGCAGGTGTCGTATTTTGGAGGGATCAACCTTCCAATCTCTTCCTCATACACTTTAACGCGAAATGGAAGTGAGCTCATCACTTATAAAGCAAGAGCTTCTTCAAATCCCAAATTTTATTGTGTCATTTTATCATGTTGATTATATTCATTGCAATTAGATTTTAAGGCTATCACTAAATAGTGGATAGAAATTATAGTCTATTTAAGTCGCATGATTCGTGCTCGATTACTGTTGGGGCTATCGATGAGACTCACGCAATACAGCCTGGATATGGGAGTATTTCGGAGGCAAGGCTAAATGAAATTCGTTGGCATTCTGAGGCATATTTATTTAATTATGGGAAAATTCATCAATCAGTCCTTCATAAACTTGTGTGACCTAGGCTGACTAGAGCTCTTATTCAAGTTTGACTGATAATCTTGAAACGTACATCCTATGAAAATAAGGCTAAAGGATATTTCCCATCATGCCATAATAATTTAGGCTTATGGGATTCTTTACCAAAACGTTCCTATCCGAAGGCGTTATCCTTCTGAAATGCAATGATTTCAATAGATAGATAGAAACAGTTATTGGATTGGTCTGACCCAGTTTTCTCAACTTTGTCCTGTTGTAAGGGTGACCTCGAATAGCTATTCTATTTCATGAATCAGATGGCTATTTGAGGTCAACCTGACAATACGACCAAAATGCGAAAACGAGCTCAGGCCAGTTCTATACAATGCAAGGAGACTGAGGCCAAAATAAAAGCCACACTGTAACATTTTTCATAACCTAAACGAAATAGTTATTTTTCGTTTATAAGTAGTTTTTCGATGAACTAGCAAGTGTTTGTCAATAATTATCACTCAAGATTTACTGAAAATAATCAAAAGTATAATAAAGA